ATAGTAAGGGGGAGTAATTTGGAGTAATTTCAAAATTGATTTCAAATTTTTAGAAAATCTTAAAATAACACAAATGTTTTTGTTATATCAAAAAAGGGGAGATTGTTGAAAACATTTTTGTGTTTCGATATAACAAATTAGTTTAAATGAATTTTAAGATTTTACAAATAATTTTCTAAGTATATTCGATTCAATTAATCGAATATCAAATTATTACTCCAAGTCTTTTAAGATCAATTTCAAACCTTACTAAATGTGTAAAATTGTGTTTTATACTTAATATATTTTTGAAACAATTTTCACAAAGTATTTTGAACCAAAATCAAGCCTAAAATCAATTTTTCAGAGTGATGCACTGATGCACCAATCCATGCATCGATGCACCATGAATTAAATTGAACATCGAATGCATTTCATGCATCGATGCACATACCATGCACCGATGCACTGAGGATTTTATGAAAACATCGAATGCATTTGATGCACCAGCCATGCATCGATGCACTCTGGCTATTTTGAAACATCGAATGCACTTGATGCATCGGTGCACTCACTAAGGGTCCAACGGTTAAAATATTTGAATTTTACACTGATGCATCGATGCACCATGGGTATGCATCGATGCACTGACACTCCCAACTGATTTTATTAATTATTTTCACACTTAAACAGCTATATTGACTCCACTAAGCATCCCCAACCTTCAAAATTATTTAAAGGTGTATTTAAACAAGCTTAGAAGACATTGATCAAAAATAAGAAACATCAAGCAATTAGAATCAAGAGAGAATCAAAGAGAAAGCATCAAACCTCAAGTTTGAGCATTTCAAGCCTATTTTTCATTCAATATTCATTTTGCTTTCAAGAACACTTATTGTGCTCAATTGTATTTATTCTTGAGTGTTCTTTCTTTGTTCTAGAATTGTGCAAACATATTTGCCTTGTGAGGTTTTTTTCTTGTGAGTTTGCAAATTTGTAATATTCTCTTTGAGAAAAGAGTGTTCTCAAGAATTGGGGTATATTCTTGAGGGAGTTGTAAGGTTATCTCTTTGGCCTCAAAAGAAAGAACACATTAGTGAATTTGTTGGAAAATCCTTAGTGTGAATAGCTAAGGTAGTGGACGTAGACTTTGGTTGATAAAGTTAAACCACTGTAAATTGATGTGTAATTACTTTCAATTTTCTGCAAAAGCTTCCACCAAAATTTTTATTACCAATTCACCTCCCTCTTGGCTGATTCCATCGATCGATTAACTCAACAAAACCCTTGGGTTGTCGACATGGAAGGTCAAGGAACATAAATAATAGTGGTGGTGGAACGATGAAGTCCAAACTAAGGTAAAGACAAAGCAAACTTGCTTCAAGGAGTTTCTACAATGCAATGATGACGAAGAAAGATCGAGAGCTAAAAAAAAGATACAAGGAGGCAAAGCGGGAAGCCAAGAAAACAATGGCTAAAGCAAAGGGTAAGGCATACGAGGAAATGTATAAGAGATTAGACACCGAGGAAGGACAAAACGACATCTTCATGCTTGCAAAATCCAGGGAAAATAGGAAAAATGATCTAGGTATCATTAGGTTTATTAAGGACAACAATGATGTTCTTCTAATGAAAGATCATGATATTAAGAGGGTTTGGGGTAGTTACTTCTTTGGCTTATTTAATGACGGTGCATCTCCCTGTAGAGATAGTATCATTAATGGGTCAGTTGACCATCATCCTACGGCCAATGGATGCCCTACAAGTAGGATTGGGTTTGAGGAAGTCAAAATGGCTATTAAAAAGATGGGGAGGGGCAAAGTTGTATGTCCAGATCAAATTCCTATCACTGTGTGGTTGGCCCTAGGAGAAGAGGGAGTAAATTGGTTGACCAACATCTTTAATATTATTTTAGAGATTGCCAAGATGCCAGAGGAGTGGAGAGAGTCTACGGTGATACCAATCTATAAGAATAAAGGAGATCCCCAACGTTGTGGCAACTACAGAGGTATTAAACTACTCAGCCATACCATGAAGCTATGGGAAAGGGTGATAGAGGTTAGGTTGAGACAAGTTACTAGGGTTTTGGAAAACCAATTTGGCTTTATGCCAGGCAGGTCTACTACGGAGGCGATTCATCTACTTCGACGGCTTATGGAGAAATATAGGGGGGAAAAATAGAGATATTCACATGGCGTTTATTGACCTTGAGAAGGCGTATGATAGCGTTCCCCGCGATACGATCTAGAAGACCTTGGAAACGAGACGGGTCCCAACTGCTTATATCAGGGCGATTCGTGATATATACTGTAGATCAACTACTTACGTCAGGACTATAGTTGGCGACACCGAAGCATTCCCGGTGGAAATCGGACTCCACCAGGGGTCAGCTCTTAGCCCTTACATCTTCGCCTTGATTATGGACGGCAGCTATTGTGTGACACCAGACGGTGTTCCATGGTGTATGATTTTCGCTGACGATATTGTCCTAGTTGCCGAAACAAAAACTGAGCTGAATAGAAGACTGGTTGCCTGGAAGACTGCTTTGGAAGTAAAAGGTCTAAGGATCAATATTGAAAAGACAAGAGTATTTATGGTCAAACTTCAGTGAAAATAAAAACGATGAAGATGTAGAAGTATGCATAGAGGGACACGTTATCCCCTCAAAAGAATGTTTCAAGTACCTAGGGTCTATGATACATAAAGATGGGGGTGTAGATGATGACGTTACACATCGTGTAAAGGCGGGATGGCTAAAGTGGAGGGTTGCAACTGGAGTTTTATGTGACAAGAGGGTGCCTCTAAAACTTAAGGGAAAATTTTATATAATGGCTATAAGACCAGTGTTGTTGTATGGATTAGAATATTGGGCAATCAAGAAGGATCACGTAAGGAGGATGGAAGCCGCAAAAATGAGAATGCTACGATGGGCATGTGGTAGAACTCTGTGGGATATGACACCAAACTCTGCTATTAGGATGTCCTTAGGGGTGGTGCCTGTATCCGAAAAATTAAGGGAGGAAAGACTACGATGGTTTGGGCATGTCCTTAGGCGACAACCATCGGATGCGGTCAAGAGGGTAGAGTCGACGGCGCCATAAGGAGAGGAAGACCAATGCGGAAGTGGGAAGATTGCTTGAGAGCCGATTTGAAGGATTTAGCCATTACCGATGACATGACCTCTGATAGGAAAGTATGGAGACTTAAGACCAAGGTAGCCGAGTAGTGCGGGTCACAGATATAGGGTGTAACATCTCTGTCTTCTGCCTTTGTAATAATTTTCATTATTTATACTTTATATATGTTTCTGTCATTAGAATTTATGAAGTCTTAGAACTAGGGTAGCGGAGTAGTGTTGCCTTAGTTTAGGTTTTTAACCCATTAGACTTTATTCCTTCTCGTAGCTTGCTACCGTTAACTATTGTGTATCATTCTCTTCAGGTTCCCTCTTTTTAAATTTAGTCGGGTCTTACGTTTCTGTCTATATGCAGATATTTTAATGCATGGATTTATTTAAAGAGATTACTTATCATTACAGACGTGCATATGAGGACTGCATATGAAGATTGTTCAACTATGCATTTATTTATTTATACATGAACTACATTTTATCTTTATCTTTAATTTGATGATTGTCCGAGGTCTTCCACGGAAGCTGCTCTCAATCTTGGCGTTGGGGGCAGCCTACTATCCTACCTCCCCTTACCCCATTACACATGGTAATAGGGTTTTGTTGTTATTGTTGATAAATAAATATTATACTGGCTTTTTATGAATAGTTAATCAAATATTGTATACACTTGCATTCCTAATGGTAAAACAGTAACAGAGAGTGACAGTCTCAGTGGGGAATGTTCAAGGATTAACGACGGTACCTCTGCCACTGTTTACCAGACACTTTTCACCACAACCCAAAACGTCCAACTGAACTTTAAGTGTCCCAGAAAAACCAGCAGATGGCTGAGACGTTTAAGAAGCGAAATTCCACCATGAAACTCAGATTGTAAATTACAGAGTAAATTAATCGTTTAATATCTAAATTATTAATTTTAATTTGTTTTAATACTTAAATTTTCAATCTTTTAAAAATTATAATTAAAGTTTTATTTTAGTATCCTACTATTAATAATTTATTGGACGATTCCAGGACAAATGGCCGAATTCCATGCTAGTTGAGAGCGAAACCCACAATTTTGTCCAACAGGTGTCCCAATAAACCAACAGTGCAGTTGGTATTTTCCCTATCAAAACCCTGCTTCAGGTCAAGCAAAGGCCTACCCCCCGGATACCCTCTTCACCACTTATTCTAGCCACCTGGTTCCCAATCATATTTACAGAAACGAAAAGGTTACCTTTCTATTCAAGGGAAATGACAATTTGCCTTCATGCGATGACAATAACAGAAATGTTGAGAGAAGGGACGAAGATAGTGTGGTTCTGAACAAGATGGAAGGCACTGATGGTTCCTTGACGTCATCGGAAAATTGGTGCAGCTTCGAGTTCAATTGTTTCCTTGGCGAGTCAAGTTGTAGTTCAAACTGGTGGTAGTACTGGTGAAGTTGAATGGGAAATTGAAATATGCAGCGCCCTTGCATCAAAAGCCCACCAACTGAATTCAATCTGAAATTTTGATCATCTCCACATATACATATATATACATACACATTTCTATCAACGTGTCGACTATAAATCAATGATGCATGCATTTCAGGTTCTCTTTCACTTTTCTAGCCAGACATTCCCTGTCCTGAAAGCTAAAACTGAAACCAAAATACACAGAATAGCAAGAATTTTAACAAGCATTCAAGAATGTCAATTTTTGCATGAAATGAGCAATGGCAAGTGCTAAATCCTATGTGTGCATCAAACTTGTACCCACTGAGCATGCTCACATAGCCGAATACAAAAGTGCTTTCTTTGAAAGACTGAATAGCACATCAGAAACCCCTTCAGTCGTTTATATTAGTCATTTAATCGTAAGTACAAATGAAGTAAACAAGAGGGCAATTAAAGATCAGAGAGAGAACTGCAAATTGTCAAATTCTTGATACAAGCCAAAAATGTTGTTACATAAGAATTTATTGAGCAAGTCTATTACATACAGAAACCTATATAGATGAAAAAAAAGGGGCGGAGAGAACTCCAAGCACAAGCATCTAAAGCTCAGTTTTGACTTTTACGTCCCCATTCTGTAAAATACTCTGTGATTGAGCAAGCCGTTTAGATTCCTGCATTGTATGAACAGCTTTAGCCTGACATAATCAGTGACAAAAACTTGACAGTCTAAAGAATGTCAAATGCGATTCTATTTTCAAGGGAACAACAGAAATATGCATAAACTTAAAGGAGTAACAATTTCATTTTAGTCTCGTAATAACTCACTTTATGGCTACTTAAGACATGCACACATTTTAAATGCACGGTTTAATGTTTCATCTTTAAGTACTTCATATTTCATATCAATCTAAGCTTTTGAAATTAAAACATGCATTGTAAATATTATAAGATGCATACCAAATTCAGATGTTGTAAAAACACATACAATTCTTCTTCAGTCCTTCCCAAACCAATAGATAAATTAATTAAATGTTTGTTTCCACTTTTATCAAGCAGAGAGCAGTTGTGTAAGAAAATGGGAGAACATTATAACATAACACAGATGCAAAGAAAGCTTTGGATAGGAAAACAATGTTTTAGAATGCCTTCATTTCACTCCTTATCTAACCCAAAGCACCGTGCAAGCCTGCATGGGAATAAAGAGAAGACATGCAAAAAGAAAACAGATAAGAAGAAAATAAGCCTAGACATTTTCATAAAGCAGGCAAGACATCATCCGTCTAATGATGAAATCAAAGAGGTGGTTAACAAGAGGTTACAGTGAGAGTGGACTAACATTGACGAAAAGAAAGCTATGTCAAGAGGCTACGAATAAGGAGATTTACAACACAAGAACCGAAATGCAACAGTTATACAAATAACATATCATCAGTCAAGGCGTTTAGGATAACTGATTACCACTCATGAATAACATTTACGAAAGCATAATCATCAAAATAACTCACAGCAGCAGCACTTGTGCGTATCTCTCTGTAGGATTCAACTTCATCAGGAAATGTTTGTTCAAGCTCTTCAAGAAGATGTTTCCGTAAACTCTATAAAATTCAATATTAAGGTAAATACAGATCGGGTTGTGCTTAATAATATAAAATTAAACCAAACCATCCTATAAGAGGAAATAAGAACTACCTTGAAGGCATCGGTTTTGCCTTTAGTAACCTGATTTTTCGCAATACAGTCATTTAAAACATCCCTCGTAAATTCATCAGGGTTCTTCCCATCATCAATCAAACTAACACAAAAACAGACAAGTTACTACTAGCAACCAAAGAACACAAACTAAATTTGTAAAAAATGGCACAAAAAAGTAATAGTGAAAGGAAACCAAACCGACTTAAGAACTTCCATTGGCACTTGAATATTACACTTCTCAGATAATTTAGCCATGTTATCGAGCTCCGAAACTAATGAATTACTACAAAACATTAAAAAAAATTGAAAACCCTAATGAGATCAGCAATGCTGCAAAAAGCTAACAAAAATCTCGCAGAATAAAATAGATATGGATTTGAAGGGAAAAAAAGATTACAGGCGTTGAAGGAGAGGGAGCTGTGAAGCGGCATTGAAAGAAGAGACGGTGAGGTATAGTTGATGGAGAAGACCTAATGTTTTCTGGATGGAGTTTATGACTTGATTCAGATTCTGCTTTGGATCATCATTCGGCGTTGCGCTTGCCTTGTCATTGGTTTGATTGTTTACCAAGCCGTTTCCGCCGCTCCCACCCGTAGTCCCTAACGACGAAACTTGCGATGCATCCATTTCTACGGACTCGTAATTTGTTCCTTCTCTCCTCTGATTGGTTCACTGTAATTACATTTAAAACAAGTGATGATTAAACAAATTGATCTGAAGCTTAAACCCTAAAGAAACAAAGCAGAGGAAACTGAAATCCGCTACAAACCCTAAAAATCTGCGCGCAGAGAGAGAGAGTCCAATGAATTTGGGAACCTCCGAATTGGATTGACTCAGGTTTTCCAGTGTGTCTTTCGGGCCTCCGCTTGATAATAAAGCCCACTTTAAAGGCCCATATATATAGAAGCTTTTAAAAACCCCAACTGCAGTAATTGGTTAAGGACTCGGCTTGCCCAAGGACCATGAGCACAGACAATACAAATATGGATGATCTAAGGATAATTGTTAAGATTAGTAAAGCATTATTTATTTATGGGATAATATTAGGTTATATTATGTAAAATTATTTAATTTTAGATTAATTGAAGATTATCACTGTTCAAAAAATAATAATTCAAGATTATTAGACGAATATAAATAGATGATTGAGATCGACAATTAAAATAAGTAGTTTTTTACATGTAAAAAAATAGATAATATGGATGTACAAAATTTTAGTCTTAATTATTTATTTATATTCCTCTAATGATCATAGATCAGCGAAAAGCTAAAAAGCATATCTAGTATAAGTTTATCATGTCCTTTTATTTATGGTTAAATTATGTATTTAGTACTTAAACTATTGGTTTTGGTCCGTTTTAGTATCTAAGCTTTTAATTTTTTTTAAAATCATACCTATCTTTTAGTTTTCATTTTATGTTAGTATCCCGATATTAAAAACTTAACGCGTTTAGTACCTAAACTACTAGTTTTGATCCGTTTTAGTACCTAAACTTTAAAAAAAATCAAAATTCATCATTAAAATTTTAATGGGGGTACTAAAATGAAACAAAAGCTAAAGTTTAGGTATGATTTTGAAAAAATTGAAAGTTTAGGTACTAAAATGGACCAAATTGATAGTTTAGGTACTAAACATGTAATTTACCATTTATTTATTATAAGAAAAAATATATTAATTAACCATGAGATATGGTGTGGTAATTGTTCATCTCATCTGTTTTTCATAATACCAAGATTCAATCATCCACTATAAAAATGAATACAAATTAACTATTTTTCCCTGAGAACACCTACAATATAGAATATATATATATATATATACATACATAGTCTAGTGCCAATTTAGGCCATAGTCTAGTGCCAATTTAGGCCATTGTCATTTCCCCCAACACATATCTTCTTGTTCTTTTCTCAACCCTAACTTTTCAACATTCGGGTTAAACGCAGAGCCCTGTTAACATCAAGAGTGTATCTTAAAAGCTCCATCACTTTCAAACAACCCTAGGAACGAATATAAAGAACGAGGCAATGATGTGAAACCCAGAGCGAACCTACTCATCTATTTGTTCACACGTCAATTTTCCCATCAAAATTCTGCCCGTTAAAGATAGGGCTGAACCAAAAACACCTTTAGTTCCAAGTGATGACCTGGGCCACAGCAAAAGCCGAGAAATGGGTTCTCATATTCCGCTTCGTTCAAGAACATATGCCCTCATCGCGCCCACTGCAGTATATGTTCTCATTGTCAAGCCTTTATCCCACTTGAAAAGGTCTTAATCAACTCCCAGTATATGTGTATATATAAAGAGGAACTTAGTGGAAGCTTTTGATGCGAGATTATAATTCTTGTGCAAAAGAAGAACAAATCTGGGTTTGCTTTAGAAGATGTGGGATTGGCTGGAAATGGATTCTGCAAAAGATATAATATGCAAAGCACGCACACACAAAGCTGAGCCCGAGAGGGAATCGATCCATCAGATAATACTTTTAAGGGTTCCTCCCTGGGTGTGTACAGCTCAGTCTTCTTCTTTTTTCTCTTCATCAAATGACAGTTTAAGATGTCAATATCAGTACCTAACCCAGAAGATTTACGCTGTGGATTCAGCTAACTAAGCTAATCATACAAATGGAAAACGTCGTACGTATCTACATAATCACGAATTGATTAATAAAACTGGTTCACAATGAGCTACGTTTTAGATTCCATGAAGGTAAAAAGATCATCATATCTCGTTTAATAATTAATAAAAAGAGATTTGTATTTAGTTTTTAGCCACCACGTGGCTTTAGATGTAGGTAGTAGCATTCTTGGAGAACCTTGGGGCCTAGCTAGTTGGCAGATGGAATCAATTCCATCACTCCTAGCTAGTTAGTGTTTTCTAAAATTTTATTTTATGATTTTTTACATTATTTTGTAAAATTCAAAAAATCATAAATATTTCGGAAAAGTTAAATTTTTAAGTAAATAAAAATAAAATATAATTTTTATATAATATTTCAAAGTTAGTTTAACTATTTGAGTTATAACACACTATTATTTATATTATAAAAATTAATTATGAATTAAATTAAAAAAGTTATGTGTACTTTATATTGTAAATAATTTTATTGTTGGGAAACTATGAAGACTGAGAACGAATATATAATTATTGCACAAAAACATATATATGATTTTTAATAGCATATATATAACACAAAATGATTCTTACTTTTGTATTTTGAATAAAAAAATGTTAAATCTCTTATAAATACAAATAATTCTAATACATAGAAGTGTAATTATTATATATGTTTAATATTATCAACTATAACCATGACTAATTACTCGCATAATACCTTCCTAATTGGTGCTTCTATCTCATCTAATTCAATAAAATTAATTATAATTAATATTTAAACATATACATAATTATAAATAATTATATTTAAATTAAGTTATGGAGTGATTTTTCAAAAACAGTTGTTGATCACAGGATCTATGTAAAGGGATGTTTAATGAGTTGAGTAACTCGTGAGTAGTTCGAACTCGATTCGGTTAAAATCCGGTAAAAGCTCAATTCGAGTTTATTCAACTTAAATTTGAGCTCGATTCGAGACCTGAATGAGTTGAGCCAAGCAAAGTCCAACTCGATTCGATAAGTTCGTGAGCAACTCGTTAATTTATTTTATATAATTTTTTAGTAGTTATCTTAAAAAAATATTAATTTACTAATAGATAATAAAAAAGATGATAATTTGTCAATCTATTAATTTTTTTACAAATAATAAAAATTATTAATTTATTAATTAATATTTTACTACATTTAAAAATCAAATCTTATTTATTATTTTAATGTATTTGTGAAGTGTTACTTTTGAATTTAGAATTTGAAATTTGAAATTGTTTCCTACACTCTTTTGATAATTTTTTTGCTTAAATTGATTACTTTATATTTATATTAAGCTCAATATAGTATAAGTAGATTTTACCTATAGTTAAGAAAATGAGGTAAAAATTTTGGTGAGCTTAACGAGTGACGAGACGAGCAACGAGCTTAACGAGCAACAAGTCGAGTTGAGCAACAACTTTTTTTAACGAGCACAAGTCGAGCAATGAGCTTAACGAGCAACGAGTTTAACGCAACGAGTCGAGTTTAGCAACAATTTTTTTTAACGAGCACAAGTTGAGCAAAAATTTAATGAGTTTAACGAACAACGAATCAAGTCAAATAACAAAATTTTTTAACAAGCACGAGTGAGTACTTTACAACTCGGGATCGACTCGCTCGATTACCTAGTCACATTAGTGGAATTATAATAGAAGAAGAAAAGAGAACAATTTGAACGCTAGGCCGCCTATGGCACTCAAGCGTGGCCTAGCCTCGGTCCTCCCATAATTGCCGATGGCTCAAGCTAGATTCACCAATGAAAACTTTTGCACTTTAAAAAAAATAGATCCACGTTTATGTAAAGACCGTTTACCAAGGTAAAGTCCTTGGAATTTCAAATCCAAATCAAGAAAAATAAACAAATCTGATTTGATCACACACCTATGTCAACTTGGATAATAATTACGGCCAACTTAATGCTCCTTCATCTCTGTGATTTGCTATCTTATTTGCTGATCTGCTCCGGCAACTTGTTCGTCACTAGAGAAGGTTTGGTTCTGTTCATGGATGGATCATTCCTGATTATCCTCTAAAAATTTCAAATTATTATATATTTCAAATTTTATATTTTGTATTGATAATATGTTTTCGTTTTAATTTATTTTATAAACTTATCTTCTCTATTAATATAAAATCTTACGTCCGTCCTAGTTCCGTTGAATAGCAACCCTTCTAAGCTTCCAAGTTGAACACAAGTAAACCACTAAACTAATATTTAATTAACACAACAAATGAAGAAAGCCTCATTTCTTGGCTATTCCATTAATTGGATATCCTATCCACTACCGGTAGTGCTTGTTTCATGTGTCAATATAGAAACTAGCACACAGTTCTCAACTCAATCACTGTAACTCATCATTGGGTCAAACGAATAATATGAAAATGCTGTAGATGATGCACCAGAAATTTGAGCAAATTGGAGCCGCCTCTTAGAGCATCTTAAAAGACAGTGATCACAGTATATGATGAAACATTAATTCCTGCTAAGCATTCAAAAGATCCATTATTGGGTCATTTTAAACATCCAATTGCCTTTCTTCTGTTTTTGGAATGGAATCCATTATCACCTCCCCAAACCCTTTTTGCTCCTCAAGTGGGAAAGACTCATATGGTCCATTAATTTAGAGAGCATGGACTCGATCGCTTGACTAATATTTATAACGTGTAAATGATGATTATCGTGACAAATCCTTTAGGGCATATCATTAATAAGTTAATCCAACTAGTTGTCGTATATCATATAAGTTAAGCCTTGACCAAGATTGGGTAATTTGATTAACTAACCCCTAATCACTCAAACCATTGAATGAATCTAGTCTTTACACACAAATAATGAGTATAAGCATGGATGGGATTAGACGAGGTGGATGGGGCGGTCGTCTCCCTACAATTTTAAATTTAATATATACTTTAAATTTTTTCAATGTATTTTTTATTTAAAATATATTTTTATCTCCTAAAATTTTATAAGTTCAAGTTCACCTCTTAAATTTTATAAGGCTCGGAATTTTGAAACAAAACAAAGAGTTTTATCTTTTTATTAGAGTATGTTCAAACTTCAAAGACTGTACAAATATTATTATTTCATGATTTGTGTTTTATCTAGATATGAAAACTAAAAAGATTTAATGCATAAATTTTAATTATAAAAATATTATGTTAAATTAATATTTTATATAAATTAGATAATAATAATAATAATAATGTATTATTAGATGTGACTCGTTTTTCTTGGGACTTAGTCGGGTGGTCGAATGGCCTTCGTACCATTATGGTCAAATGAGCCCATTCAAAGTTCAAACTCCCAATGATCAGTTTGAATTTTGACCAAGTGGGACCTATTGTCGGCAGCTTCAAAGGAGGACCAGCTGAGAGAAGGGTTTCTTTTATTAATACGAGCTAATTACAAAATATTATATATTTTAAATTTTTTGAATTATTTGATAATGAATGATTAATTATTCTGTTATAATTATTAGTACTCTAATCTATAACCTCTAATAACAATAATAATTTTTTTTAGTCACTAAAATTAATTGGTTCGTACAGTTGAGGGGAAGGATAAATTACTAGAATGAGTCCATGTGGGTATTGTTAAGTTCAATGAACCGTTTGTAGATTATTTGGTGATAAGTTTATTTATGTTCGAACATAAATAGGATTTTATATTTGTTTAATTAAACGAATGAATACGAATAAACGACTCATTCATTCATTTATGTTTGTGATCGTTTGATATTTCATTCATTTATATTCGTTTATTTATGTTCATTTATATTCATCCCAATCTCCAAACTCGTTTAAAATATTAAGACCAAATAAATTTTAACATTAAACTCATTAATGTTTTAAAATCTAATTAATTTTACTCAAATAAAAAATACCTAAATCAATTAAAGAAACATAAACCCTAAAATTATTTTTAAAAAAACTCTTCTCAAATATAAATCTAATTAATTTTATATTCGTTCATTTATATTTTGTTCGTTTGTATTCATTTACGTTCGTTCTTTGGGTTCGTTTATTATTGTAATGAACGAACATGAACAATATACATTTCTTAATGAACGAACATGAATATAAAATTTAGTTTGTTTAGTCGTTTGTATTAATTTATTTATTCGATTAAAATTAAATGAATGAATATGAATTCTCAATCGTTTACATGTCTGGTTTTGTTTTTGTCCTTCTCCGGTGTTGGAATATGACAACAATGTCCCTTGCTGCTAGGGGGAGTAGCGTTCGAATAAAACAACATTGTCCCTTGCTGTTAAGGGCACATGATTAAGGCCAAACGATTCTAAAAAGGGACAAGTCCTTTTTTCCCAAACCCTTTTAACCCCTTCCATGGGACCAGTTTTTTAAAAATCGAACCGGATCGGCCGGTTCAACTGAAAATCGTTACTTAATCCGGTTCAATCTACACCGGTAAAATCACTACTAGTGAATCGGTCAGAACTGCTGAACCGTTCGAACCGAACCGGCTGAATACCAGAAAAAACGGGAAAAAACGTCAATTTTTTTTAATTAAACCAAACAACGTTGTTTGTTAAACGAGCCAAGTCGAACTCGAGTATTGCTGAGCTCGACTCGAACTTGAAAACTTTAAAAGTAAGCTCAACTCGACTTAAACTCACGAGCTAAAAATTATCAAGTTCAACTCGAACTCGAAATATAATATTAAAACTTGAACTCGAAAAGGCTTGAACTCAAAAAAAATTAGAAGCTCGATTGAAGCCTAAAATTCGAGCTTGATTGAAGTGAAATAATAGTTCACTCAATGCTCACCAAAAGGCTCCATGATTTTGAATGTCAAATTACCACTATTATTTATAGAAGTTAGTTGTGATGCTCTTCTATGTTTCTTAGTCATGTACGATTGTTTTGTTCTCATATTTTTACTCTCTAGACTTTTGGGATGTTCTTCTATGTTTCTTAGCTATGTGGGATTGTTTTTTTTAAAAAAATTATACAAAACAATATCATTTTGTTATGATTTTTTAGCCCTAAATTTATTTTTTAATTATAGTTATATAATTATATTTATTATTTAATATGTTTTACCTTAAATATTATGTTGTAGTTAATTTGAATCATTTTGTTTAACTTGATTTTATGGTTTTTAACTTATATATGTTATGACTTGCTTTGAATATGACTTGTGATATAAAAAATTATTTTTTATTGAATATTTTTGATATTTTTATTTAATTTTTTAAATAATTATGATGACTTTCGATTCTTTCGACCGATCGAATCAATTCGAGCGATTAAACTATTGAATCGATAACATGACCGATTCGCTAACCGGTCAGTTCTGAAAACCATGCATGTGACGTGACCTTAGTCCTTATACGCGTGAAGAAGGCAATAAAAGGAAAAACGAAATTGCACTGAACACACGACATTCGGACAAGAAATTTCCACGTGGGCTTTGTCAACTCGCTGAACTGCTCTAGTGCCTAAATCCGTACCATATTCGTGGATAGACACTATAGTATCACGAGAGAGATTGAATTTTAAAAAAAAATTAAAGCATTTGAATTTATAAAAATTAAGAGATAAAATAAATTATTAATAAGAAGTATAAAAATTAAAATTTTAAAAAAAATAAAAAAATTAAAAGGAACAATTGTCTTTACTCGTTCTTTTCTAGATCCATCCTCTTATAACATTGCAGTTAGATATTTGTTAACCAGTACTATCAAATTAACTTTTATTGAATATAAATGATAATTAAATAAACATTAATATTTAATCATTAAAGTATTAATATCAAGTTTAAAAAATAAAAGGTCAATGATCCAAATTATTCTAAATTAGGATTTGAAGAAAAAGACGATCCAAATTATTCCGTCAGCAATATTTATTACGAAAACAGGTTAACGATCCGTACACACCTGAGAAGGAATGCTATGCCTTTTCACAGTTTAATGCCACTTAAAGGGTTACTATGCTGAAATAAACGGCCTAAAATGATTTTCCCTCTTTTAAATGCTAATTAAAACACTACTAATAATTGTTTTAATGCTTTATCAAACGGTTTCTTCACAAAATCACAGAGGAAAAATTGCTATTTGAAGTCAAATTTGAAAGCTTTTTTTAATATATAAAATAAATGAAAATAGAAATGTTTTTCTATAAAGAAAAAACCAACTTTTTATTATTATTGCAAATTGGCTGATGGCTATGGCTGGCTCTATGGGGCATGAACTCCTCGAATCTCATCTTCCGTAATGGTAGTGGCGGCGCACCTTTTGATTTTATTTATTTCCGTTATAATGCTGGCAAAATAAAACGCCTTGCTTAACTGTTACTTTTATGGAATGCTACGTACATATATACGGTACGTGATTATTTTCAAAAATAATTTATGAAATAAAATGGTTTTTTTATTGTATTAAATAAATAATTATACACGTACGTGTAACAATTCTTAGTACACAAATCGCTATATAAACCAAGCAACCCAATTCTTAGTTTAACCCAAAAAAAGGAAACCATTTACTCAGAGAAACAAACGTCCAATCTTTTCTTCTTCATCTTCATGGAGACGAACTCGGATTGCTTCTGGGTTTTATTTCTCGCATCCAAATGCAAGTATTTTTCTTACCAAAACTCCATCGTGCTTGTTGTTTTTGTTTGCATGGCCTGGTTGGCCATGGCCTTGTGCTTCTGGTTCTTCCCTGGAGGTCCTGCTTGGGGCAAGTATAATTGGTTGACCAAGAAAGCTTCCAGTAACGCCATTCCAGGACCGCGAGGCTTTCCGATTGTTGGAAGCATGAACCTCATGGTTAACCTAGCTCACCACAAGCTTTGCGCTGCAGCTAAATCCTTTGGTGCAAAGCGGCTCATGGCTTTTAGCTTGGGTGAAACACGGGTTATCATCACATGCAATCCCGATGTTGCCAAGGAGATTCTTAATAGTTCTGTTTTCGGTGATCGTCCGGTGAAAGAGTCGGCTTATAGTTTGATGTTCAACAGAGCGATCGGTTTCGCTCCTTATGGTGTTTACTGGCGGACACTGAGAAGAATCGCTGCAACACATCTGTTTTGCCCTAAACAAATTAGTTCCACCGAGGCACAAAGGCTGGACATCGCGTCTCAAATGGTGTCCATCATTGCATGTTGTCGTGGAGAGTTCTCCGTACGCCATTTACTCAAGAAAGCTTCACTGAACAACATGATGAGCTCAGTGTTTGGAAGTAAATATCATCTGGGATCATCGAATCCTGAAACAGAAGAACTCAGCCAGCTTGTTGAAGAAGGTTACGACCTACTAGGGAAGCTCAATTGGTTTGATCATCTTCCATGGCTTGGTGGCTTAGACATTCAAAAAATCCGGCTTCGATGCTCGGAACTTGTTCCCAGAGTGAACAATTTTGTGAACAAAATCATCCAGGAGCATAAACTCCGAATTGGAGCAAAAAACCATGATTTTGTCGACGTTTTACTTTCTCTCAACGGATCTGATAGGCTCTCGGAAAACGATATGATTGCCGTTCTTTGGGTAAGAAACAAGCTTATCGGCAATTGCCATGATAATTCATGAAGAAAGCAATTTACTATTTTTTAAGCATGCTTTTTTTTTCTTTCTCTTGCATGAGTTTTCTAGGTGGAATCTTGATAATGATTTGAGGGAACAATTTGTTGATTAGATTCCTATAATAATACACGTTTTCTTTATAAGGTGTTTCTTGTTGCTGTATGATAGATCAGATAAATCTTCTTTTTTTCCCCTACACAAAATGTCCATAGCACCTTATTTTATTCTGTTTACGGAACTCCAAGAAGAAGCGGAAGTGGACATTATTGTGCATTTCAAGAAGCAAAGTATAACATAATGGCCACGAAATATCGGTGTCAAATAAAGGACAATAGGACACTACTTTCTCTGTCCTCTATTGTACTATGTTGTAATAGAAGATATACGTTGAAATTTATCCAACACATAACATATTAAGGTGAATAAAATTCTATTCCATTAAAAAAAATTGATTTAATCTGAACTTTATACATTTAATATTAAATAAAAGTTTAAATAATAATTTATAACTCATCAATTTGACACTAAACCCCATGACCTAAACCATACCATATCAAACTACACTACCCTAAGCCTTAACCTATTGATCACACAAAACACAATGTCGTTTTGACCCTTTTCCATTCTTTTTGAAGTGTTTTAACTTCTAATATATTAATTTTTAATCAAAATAATTCATGTTAGATGAAGATCATTCAAATTGCTGATGTGGTATTTGTATATGTGCATAATTGATGATGTAACGTATGTAATGTTATCGTTTTCGGTGATATGACATAAATCATGTCATCACTTTATGACACATGTCACATTACCGATTAAACGCATGTAAAAATATCACGTCAACAATATGTGTTAACTGTTAATCAACTAAAGAATTATTTTGATTGAAAATTGAAATGTTTGAACTAAAATATTACAAAAAAGAAACCAGTAGCCCGTCCATTAGCAAATCTAACTTGTGACATGCCACATGGCCTCAAAATTTGAGGGTCTCAAATTTTGAAAAAATATACTAACCTAAAAAATTAATTTTCCTACTATAAGCACACCGGAAGAAAATTTAATTAAGAAAACTTAATTTCATATGTTTGAAATTTTTATGGGTGAAGAATACATTTGGTCCCCGACTATAGGATACTATTTTATTTAAGTCACTCGACTATTAAAAGTTATAAAATGGTCCTCTAACTATATAGAGTAGCTTTATTGAGGCCATCAATTATTAAAAGTTACAAAATGATCCTCTAACTATAAAGAGTAGCTTTGTTGAGCCCCTCAACTATTAAAAGCTACAAAATGGTCCTCTAACCGGAGATAGTAGCTTTGTTGAGCCCCTTGACTATTAAAAGTTACAAAATGATCACTTGATTATTCATTATGTTCCAAACTCGTCCTTTTCCGTTAAAAAATTAATGACGGTCTCAGCTGAACGTTAACCTACTAACTGAGATATGATAAAGAGTTAATCTCATAATTTCAGATTAATATCATATCTTAGTCAACATATTAACGTTCAGCTCAAACTACCGTTAATTTTTTAACAGAAAAGGACAAGTTTGGAACACAATGAACAGTTAGATGATCATTTTTGTAACTTTTAATGGTCGATGGACTCAATAAAGCTACTCTCTATTATTGGGGGACCATTTTGTAACTTTTAATAACCGGGTAACTCAATAAAGTAATATCATATAATCGGGGGACCATTTGTGTACTTTATCATTTTTATTTTATAAGAAACAACCGTAATGTGATAAGTTTTGATATTTTACAATTTCGTCTTATTAAAAAATATTTTAGGGGATTCATTTTAAAAAAGTAGCACATGACGTTCACATCTTTTAGGACAAATCTAAGAACCAAATGGATCATGTATACACAAACATATGAAAGTAACTTTGTCATAATGCTTAATTTTTAATAGTATATTATCATCTGATTTACTTTATAAGATACCAAATGATAAAGTTGAGAACAAGATAGAAAGGGAGAGAAACAATACCCTTGTCGGTTCGAGAAAGAAAGAAGGATTTTGATACAAGTATCGAACAATTGTTATCATGTTTAAATGAGAAACATTTGCATTTATTGTGTGAGAGGTGTTTTCATTATCTGAAATTGGGGGTTGGGGGGCCATTTCCCTTTGAACTAGGTCATGGCTCTGTGGATCGAACGTGAAGTGCAGATGGGTTGAAAGACACAACTGGTACTTTACCACGACTACTTCACGTTCAAACATCTTTGTATCTTCCCCACCTCGGTGTCCCACACATCCATTCTCATCTTCCTTTCTCAACAAGTTACACTAATCTTTTTAGTATTCATTTTAAAATTTGCATTTTGCAATATCATTTATATAACTATTGTCGTAATCGTCCTTTGGGTAGGTCTAGAATCGGGCTTCGACTTAATTTCGATGTGATGGAGTAGCCACCGATCATTTAAAATTAGGTTGATCGGGTACCTCAATTGACCATTTTACCTGATCTACGTTTTACCATAAGTATATCGGATTCGATTACAGTCAATGAAGGATTAGCACCCTTGTACTGTCCTTTCGGTACCAATTTAATTTCACGGTTGTCTTAATTGCGAAAATTAAAAGTCAAATTAAAATTTAAAAGTTCGATCATATGTTTTCCAAAACCGATTTTTAAAAAACTATATATTATACACGTTTTAAAAAAAATATGTTTTCAAAACTATGTATTATACGTTTTCAAAAGCGTGTTTTCAAAACCATATTATATACATATTTTCAAGAACCGATTTTTAAAAAATATATATATTACATGTTTTTTAAAAATATTTTCAAAAATTATACTATATTATTATATATACTAAATAAGCTCCGGACGAAAACGAGTGATTACAACTATAAAGACCCGCACGAACCAAATTACCTCAATGGACTAAGAAATGATTGTTATTTTTAGAGGTTTCGGATTCGAGCACCCAAAATAGATTATTAAACGTTCATTATCAAATAATTGAAATTATTTAGAACATAGATTATTATATTATCACCTTGACTTAATAAAAAAAATTACAAAAACTATAAATATGCATAAGTATTTATGCTGATCGAATAATAGAAGTTTGTACGCTCTTTTCAAGTCTATGACTTAACACCTAATGAAATTTCACAATCTCTAACAATAAAGACCCAATATTACTCTGCATAAGGACAAGAGCCAAATAAATAATTCCTGGTCTCATATTTGACATTATAAAGTAGGCGTTCATAATTAAAAATCTAATAATATGCAACCTTCATAAACCATGCTCTACACCCAACCACCAAGCTAAATTAAGAACTTTTATATTATTAGCAAAACTAATAGATATGTTTAATAGTAGTTGTATACTTTCATCTTCCTAGTCGATTCAAATCCCTGTTGCTCAGTGACGCCAACCATCTGCTCGACGAAATGTCAAGCTCGTTGAAATTAAATATTTTAGGACGGAAAATTATAATTGATATGCTACTTTTAAAGAATCAGAAACCCTTGTTAATGGCACACATTTTACACATTGCAGCAATGGTTGGTTCGTTGAACTTGGCTGCACACGTTAATATATTATTAAGATCTTGCTCGGCAGTAGTTTTATCCGGATCGCTGGAATTACAAACTTCACAGCAAAGGTTCAATTTACTGAGAAACAGGTTCGGACTTACAGTGATTCGACCAACAATACGAAATTACAAATTGTAAATGGAAAAAATGACAGCTTCGATTTACTATGGAAAGAAAAAAGGATCAAGAACATATTTGATAATGGTAATTTAGCAAACAATGGATCCATTTCAACCATGCTAAAAATCTTAACAGGCCTTGATTCTGGTTGACAAATGTATTCATGGGATCAAATTGTAAAGCTAACAACCACAGCATTCAATGCAACAAATATCGAATTCGGGAAATCTCGAAAAATCGCCATGATTCTTGACTAGATAAGGAAAAAGCTGGAGTGTCCAACAACTACCGGATGCTAGAAAATTAAGCTATTCTTCACAAAAGGCAATCCCAATCAAGCTTGACATTTCGTCGAGCAGTTGGTTGGCATCACTAAACAACAAGGATCTGAATCGATAAAAAAAATGAAAGTATACAACTACTATTAAATATATCTATTATTTTTGTTAATAATATAACAAATTCTTAAGTTAGTTGGTGGTTGATGTTAAACATGATTTATAAAGAATGTTGATTTGAATCCAAAGGAAAACAATTTTTCATCAAAAAAAAAAAAACTCTAATAAAACGACGTTAATTTTCGGTTTTTTGAGCTTCAAAACAATTGCGCCGCCATTTCAGTGAGGGAGCCATATCATCACCGTCACAGTACAGAGATGTCATGTCATCGTGTTGTTAACGGATTAAAAACGGAGTGACATAATTGCAGCTAAACATAAACGTCATTATTAAAATTGATAAAATTGAAACGTCAGTGGCATAAACGAGCTCGAGGTTAAAGGTGAATAGTATTTGAAGTAGTTTACCCTAAATATAAATAAAAAATGCGAAAAACGATTAGAACTAAATTATTTTTATGAGCATTTTAAAATCTCCGCAATAATTTGATTATGAATTATTAGGAAACGAAGCTATCTTGTTTGTAAAGCCTAGATGCCCGCGAACTAATTATTGCTTTTGCAACCTTAATTTGGAAGAATGTAAAGCACGGTCTGCCATTTGACTATCACCATCATTTACATCTTTCTTTGAAGTAATTGATTGAACGCAATAAAATGGGAAACATTTTGACCGAGACGGGGAATTAGGGTTTTAAAATCTACAGTAATTATATCAATGATTATTTCTTAACCAAATATATTGGTGTTGGTGCTATGGCCAGCAGGAACTATAAAAGTAGGCTTATGATGTAGTGAACGACCCACTTAGAACACTTTAGGTCTATAATTAGAGTGTGGAAAATGCTTTTATGTGTGTAAATTTGTAGCCAACTAGCTTTTGAAAGATGGAGCATTGGTGATCGCTTTAGAAATTATTTTT